ATATAATATAAACTTCTCGGGTCTATGTCCTTCAGTGGTAAATATATATGCTATAGAATACAAAATTTTCACACAAAAGTCAGGTTCCATTTGACCCGCTAAATATTGACCGATCTTTATGAAAACATGCATGATTATTCTTTGGCCCGATCCCCTTCTCCATGCAAAATTTCACGATGATCGGGCCATTATTGCGGCCTCTGGAGCGACCAGAAAAACCGATAAAAATTTAGTATTTGGTCCATTTCATCCCCTAAATATTAACCGATCTTTCCCAAAAACAATAGGGGTCTTCAGTGTGTTATGGACCAGTCACGTAATTTTGCATTTAGGACGGGTTCCGGCCATAGAAGACGCTATTGTTTTTGATAATGATCTGTTAATATTTAGGGTATGAAATGGACCAATGTACTCTGTTTTTTTTTTCTGGACGGTCTAGACCCACAGTTATGAGCCGAACATCACAAAATTTTACACAGAGAACGGGGTCTGGCCATAGAATAAACATGACTCTTATGAAGGTCTCCCAATATTTTGCAAGCCAAATGGACCCAGACTTTTGTGTGAACATAGAACAGGAAAAGGTGGTGGACATAGAACAGGAAAAGGTGACAGTATATCCTAGTGGTGTGGTTAACCTTTAAATTGAAACGAATTATGCTGATGTATATACTCGGATGTGGGAGTTAAACGTAAATATTTACAAGGGTCTACCTACTCTGATTTTGTTTAGTATTAATTTACAATAGAGCAAAAAAGGTCCCGCTGATGGCTATGAAATTTCGAATGAAGTTATGGTTATTTTAAAGAACGATTCCTATAATTTTTGCTGATGATGAGGTGGAATTAAGAGGATGAAATAGGCCGTTATTTTAAGCCGAACATCAGAACCACGAAAAATCGATCTAACCAACTAATTGGAATGGCGGTTTTTATGGCGATCGGTCATTAGTTATCAAGTTAAATGAGCCCAGACATTTGTGTGTAAAATAAGAAAATTAGAGTTTTATAGCGTAAATGTTCACTAAGAAAAAATGTTAAAAAAAATGTTATTCGAAAAATATGCCAGAGTCAGAAAGAGGAGTTTTTGACCTCTAATCGGTCAAGAGAGTGCAAATATAACATTGCTAAGGCTCGGAATGTAGATCCGCAGAATGTTAGTGTTCAGTGGTAATTGTGTTAGGGTATCATATGGCCGGCCTCGTCCGACTATACTGCTCCGCTCACTGATTTTTCTTCACATTAAGTTTACATATTTAATTATAAAATCTAGTTGGAATGTCTCTCAATTTATAAAGAGATCCATTCAATTTCAGCACAATTTGTATCCAAATATCATTCAAATTACGAGGCATATTTTGTTTTTGTATTTATTTAATTGCCTAGTAGAGCTTATTGCTCTTATTATTATTGTTGTGGCAATGATTTGCATTATTTTTGATCCAAAAAAATTATATATCTGGGAATGGATGTTAATATTAAACGCAATGATAAATTGATATCACAAACATTTATTGATATCATAAACCGGTTAACAATGTCATTATTTTGCTCAACTGAGTCTGTCATAAATTATATTAGATTCTATAAAATGAATCTAGCGTAATATTAAAAATCAGCATTACGCTCAAAAAATAAGTGAAAGAAAAAAACAGCGTTTAAGGAGACCTCCCATATTTGAAGATATAGCCGAATCAAGAATGATATTAACATATTGTAAAGTAGCAGTCTTGGTTCATATTTATACCCTTCACCACACTGTGGTACAGGGTATTATGTCTTTGTGCATATGTTTGTAACAGGCAAAAATAATCGAGATAGACCCATGGTTCCTTTTGAGAATATGCATAGAATCACTTTCTGATTCGATTTATGCATGTCCGTCTGTAGATGTTAAATTGTAAACAAAGTACAGGTCGCATTTATGATCCGAATTGGATGAAATTTGGCACAGCTCATTTGTTTGGCCCAAGGACGAACCCTATTGAAATTGGGAAAAATCGGTTCAGATTTAGATATAGCTCCCATATATATTTTCGTCCGATTTAATGTAAACGGTCCCTATATATCTTTCGATTTGCACGAAAATTGGCACAGCGTAATGAATTAGGTCTAGAATGATGTGTGTAAAATTTCATAAAAATCGGTTCAGATTTAGATATAGCTCCCATATATATCTTCGTCCGATTTAAGGTAAATTGTGTACCAAAGTCCATATATATCTTTCGATTTGCACGAATTTTGGTATAGGGTACGTTGGTCAGCTAAGTACTTCGCTTTGTTACAAGAGACATTTGGGTTTGAAAGGTTTTTTGTATAGAAGCAATAGCTTCTGGGGAGAATTTCCCAACAAAAAACTAAGGGAACTGATGAGGATCAGTGGCGTGATCCGAAACTATAGTCTTCCCTGCCTTTCCCCTCGGCAATCAATGCCATACATTCCCCACTAATAAATAGTTATTTTTTATAAAAACAAAATACAAATGGTATCCCAAATAAACCGCCAATACTACTGAAGTACTGAATTAAGTCTAAAATGATGTTGCTAAGCTGCGTGAAAAGATCTATAGCAAGGCCAAATGAAACAACGTACTGAAGTAATATAAATTAGTCTCTGGCAATTTTCCCTGAAATCGGTTCAGATATAGATATATAACAAAAACGCGTCGTCTGTTGGGATACATATGTAGAATATACCCAAAGTGGTGAAGGGTATCATATAGTCGGCCCACTACTACGGCTTTACTACTTTCCTTACTGGTTTTAAGATGTGTCAATTTCGCCGAATAGAATAATTAGACGCATAAACATTTCACAGCAATCTGATTATCTATACTAATAAAGGAGTGAAGTGATTGACTGACTCAACGTTTCATCAACGCCCAGACGGTTAAAGCTAGAATCTTGCAAATTGTAGGTGGGCTTTTGGAAATTCGTACTAGAACGACACGAAAAGTACTAAAAAGTATTGAATGTGGTACCATCTGTATCTGGCGAACTGGTAGAGCTAGAACTTTTAAATTTCAAATGAAGGTCAGGAGTGTAGAATGAAGTGTAGAATAGATATAGGAAATGTTTTGGACATTCGAACTACAAGATCCGAAAAGTACATTAATGAACTAAACGGCACGAAAAGTACTAAAAAGTATTAAATGTGGTACCATTTGTATCTGGCGAACTAGAACTTTTAAATTTCAAATGAAGGTCACTGATGGAGTCTAGAATAGATATAGGAAATGTTTTGGACATTCGAACTATAAGTATCCGAAAAGTACTTTAATGTACTAAATTTAGTACAATTACGTAGTATGTGAATGTATAGAGCTTAAAACTTGAAATTTGGAGTGCGAATTAAGGTTGAAAAGCACTGTCGATATAAGGAGGTGGTTTTGAAAGCGTGTACTCATGTATACGAAAAGTTCTAAACTGTACTAAATTTATTATAATTTGAACTTGGAGAAATCGATACAGTTTAAATCCTGAAATTTAGATTAGGGTATGGATGTAGCTTTGGAAATTTGTACTTATGGATACAAAGTGATACAAAATTTGATACAATTTAAATTTAGAATTGAATCTTAAATTCAAATGCTGGAAAAATGAGGTATGTAGGAAGTTTTGTGAATTCCTAATTATGTGTACTAAATGGTACTAAATTTGGTACAATGTGAATTTTGTGAGAACCGATAGAGAATCCTGTTATTTGTAGTCAGGATTCCTGTTGAGGTGTAGGATTGGGATATGCAGTTTTGAAAATTTGTACTTAGGTGTACAAAAAGTACTAAATTTGGTACAATTTGGATTTAGGTAAACCAATAGAGTCGGAATTAATATCACTAATGGAGTGTAGAATTGAGGTATGTAAATAGTTTTGGAAATTCATACTTATGTGTACTAAATTTGGATTTAGGGTAATCCTATGGGTCTGGAATCCTGAAATTGGGAAATAAGATTTCTATTGGATTGTATGATGTATGTAGTAATGGAAATGTGTACTAAATTTGGTACAATTTGGATTTAGGGTAAACCGATAGGTCTAGCATCCTGAAATTTGGAGTTAGTATCACTGTTTGGGACTGAGGTACGTAAAAAGTAATGGGAATGTCTACTAATGTGTACTAAATGGCACTAAATTTGGTACAATTTGGATTTAGAGTGAACCTATAGAGCTGGAAACCTAAAATTGGGTATAAATGTTTCCATTGGATTGCATGATTTAGGTAGTAATGGAAATTTATTCTTATGCGTACTAAATGGTACTAAATTTGATACAATTTGGATTCAGGTGAACCAATAGAGATGGAATCCTGAAATTTGGAATTAAGATTGGTTTATGTGGAAAGTTTTGGAAATTCGTATTCTTATGATTGTTAATGTAGGTAGTTATGTAAATGTATATTAATGTGTACTAACAGGTACTAAGTTTGGATTTGGGTGAACCTATATTTGAAATTTGGATTTTTTTGGAAATAAATAATACAAGAGTACAACAGGTAACAAATGATACAAAATTTAGTATCCTTTATTTGTGTTGAAATATGGAGTTAGTTACATACTATACATAAGTTACATACTATAAGAGAACATAGGTACTAAATGGTATTAAACTTTTAATTATGGTCGATATTAGATTTAAAAAATTACCACATTCGATAACGAAATAGCGGACATATCTTAGTTAGTTTATAAAAAAATAACATTTTATGTAGAGTAATGTTTGTTTAAAAATAAAAATATATTTTTTCAATGACAATATTATAGTAGGCATATCATGTTATAAAATGTACACGAGTTATAAAAATGATAAAAAATCAACTGCTTTATAATAATGATTAAAATAACAACAACAAATTAAAATCAATATTGTTTTGAATTTATTATTTTATTGGTGTGTATAATTTGAGTGTTTTTCTATTTATAATCTAAAGCAACCATCACATTCTACTACAAAATATAATTTAAATAATCTATTTTCAATATTTTTTAATACAATCTTTAATTTAGCACACACTTTTATTTTCACGTGTAAAATTAAAAGTCTGCCTAAGCACTCGAACAACATAGTCAGGCAGCAAACAGGACACTGTGGTAATAACACAAAACAACCACACTGGTATGGAGACCAGAAGTTTATTATATGCTCCATAGATATTGGTATCATAATGACTGGAAAAATATAAAAATAAAATTGAAATTAAATTTTCTATATATTTTCAAACCGTCCACTTACTGATTCCAAAAGTTATACAGAAACGTTGTAAGAAAATATGCCAATATCGACAAAATAATTGTACCAATATACCAATAGGTTACATATTGAGATTCCAACCATATTTTCAAATTAACCACAATGATAACAATGTGTAGCAGCAAGGCACAATAGCAGGCAAAATCCGCAGTTTGACCACCATTCAATATAACATCATTGCCAGAGAATATCCACGAGGCAAAATAGAAACATATGATCGAATGATAAAGACCAAAGAAAATCCATTCTAAAAATGTTGGCCATTGTAGTTGCTTATTTTTGGTATTTTTACGATAGAGTTCGGGTTTTCTGAAAAAAATAATAAATTAAAAATTGATTTTATTTTAATGGTTTTAACCCTAAAATGAGTTTTTTTATATTTTTAAGATTTCTGACGTTTAGGATGATTTTCGAATTTTATTCTATTCAGAGACTTACAGTAAAAATTTATGTTTAACATTTTGTAAAATATTCTGACCTGCTACAATCCCGTATTAAATGAGTTTTCAATTGTTTCTGGAAAAAATTGTTTCAGAGTGTCGACTGAGGGGGTTAACGTTTTAGGCAAAAATAATCCTCACATTTATATCAGTAATATTGGCATATAACATATAAAAGAATTTCGAGAAATTTTAATTCGATTGCTTTTAAATATCTCGGAAATGGAAAATATTACCAATCCCGTATTAAATGAGTTTTCAATTGTTTCTGGAAAAAATTGTTTCAGAGTGTCGACTGAGGGGGTTAACGTTTTAGGCAAAAATAATCCTCACATTTATATCAGTAATATTGGCATATAACATATAAAAGAAATTCGATTGCTTTTAAATGTCTCGGAAATGGAAAATATTACCAAACCTTTTTAGGTTATCTCCCGACGTTAACTTCCAAAATGCCGACATACGTGTTTTATTTAGCGGGTCAATTGGACCCAGATGGCAAAAATTTGCATTCTATGACATATATATTTATTCCTGAAGGGCATAGGCTGGAGAGTTTGAGAGTATATTCAAGAGAAGACGTTGACCTTTGAATTTCAATTAATTATAGTGATGTACGTACTTGGATGTGGGAGTAATATTTGCATATTCTTATACTGTTTAGTATTACGATTGCCACACTAGAGGACCACTATTGTAACCCGAACCATACAAATTTTACGGGTGGCGTAGGGGATGATAGATACCAAACAACTGCTCTGATTGGCTTTAACATGGCGAAGGCCAGGCTTATCTTGGTCCCTCTATCATCTCAATTGAGGACACTGACCTCACCGCGGTGTCACCTGGGGTAGCTATGTTCATCACGCGTTGAAATAGTGAGCTAATATGTGCTGCGAGTTCACCCATAAGAACTATAAAAAATAGATTGAGGCATCGGGTTAGTTGCCCACACTCGAAAAACCCCTCCTACTATGAAAAAGCAAAGAAAAAGAAAACCAAACCCCCCTAATGTTGACGAACCCCGCAAAAGATCACGATCTGCGAATCCGCACTTGGAATGTGCGCACGCTGTAGAGACAAGGCGCAGTTTTCGCTTTGGAGGATGTACTCAAGAAGTACAAAGCCGATATTATTGCCTTACAGGAAATGCGATTGAAAGGGACAGGAACTGTATTATAGCTGCCATAAAACGAGACATGAACTTGGCAGCGGATTTATGGTTAACAGAAGAATAAAAGACCTCGTCTCCAGATTCACTTCAGTAAATTGCTATAATCCGCATAAAAGCGAAGTTCTTCTACATCAGTCTTATTTGCGCCTATGTTCCGACCGAAGACAAATATGAGCTGACCAAAGACATATTTTATGAGCGCCTAGAAGGGAAAATATTTTTGGCCCCACCGTTGGAAAATTCAGCCTCCATGAAGAAACATCCGACAACGGCATGAGGTTGATTGACTTCGCGGCAGAAAAAAACATGGTAGTTAGCAGCACCAGATTCAAGCATCTGGATATACACGAGGCCACCTGAACTTCTCCTGATCAAGCAACGATAAATCAAATTGACCATGTTGTGATAGACGGAAGGCATTCGTCCAGTGTTTAGACGTTCAATCGATGCGAGGAGCGAAGGTCGATTCGGATCATTACCTTGTGGATCTGGAAGGAGCATTTTGAAAAACTTCTGGTATCAAATAGTAGAGGTGAAGAGGATACCCATAACTAATCATAAAAGACGGTAGTTAGAATAGCAATCAATCGGCTGAAGAATAATAAAGCAGCAGGTGTCAATGGATTACCAGCCGAACTATTCAAAACCGGTGGTCAGACGCTGATCAGGAGCATGCACCAACTGAATAGTACAATTTGATGCACAAAAAAGGAGAAAAAACGATATGTATCAACTATAGAGGAATTAGTTTCCTTCCCATTGCATATAAAGTGATATCCAGCGTACTGTGTAAACGACTGAAGCCAATGGTCAATGACATTATTGGGCCTTACGAATGCGACTTCAGACCTGGCAAATCCACCATAGGCCAGATTTCCAGATTCTGGAAAATACCCATGAAAATACAAAATACATCGACACATTCCACTTATTCAAAGCCGCATTCGACAGCTCAATCCGCTCAGAGGTGTTTATCATTCCTGCAAAAGTAATACGGCTATGCAGGATAACTTTAACAGGTACAATATCAGCAGTTAAAGTCGGAAAGGACCTCTCGGAGCTCTTCAATACCGAACGAGGATTCAGACAAGGTGACAGTTAGTCGTGTGACCTATAAAACATCCTGCTGGAAAAGGTCATACGAGATGCAAATTTGAAATAAAAAAGGCTCTCTGTACACCAAACAGCATATGTTACCTGCCGACGACATCGGCATAATGGGTCGAACATTGCGAGCAGTAACAGCCACCTTGGAACAAATTGAGAAGGAGTCTGTCAAAGTGGGACTTGCAGTAAATGGCGAAAAGACCAAGCTGATGGTATCAACACGCAAGACATCCAGTAGACTCGGACCAACTGTGGGACTTTAAAATTACAGCTTCGAGGTAGCGAACGGTACCAACTTAAAAAAAAAAAACTAATAACATCATCTTTGAAAACCGAAGAATGATAGTGTTGGTCAACAGATGCTACTACTCACACTCTACAAGACGCTGATACTACCCGTGCTATTATATGGATCTGAAGCATGGATACTGCAAGCAGATTAGGCAACTCTTCGAGTGTTTGAAAGAAAAATTCCTCGAAAAATCTATGGGCCGATCTGCGTTGACAGTGAATATCATCGTCGAATGAACCATGAGCTATACCATCTATTCTCGGACATCGACATAGTAAAACGGATCGAGCTGCTGCGACTACGTTGGCTAGGTGATGTTGGAAGAATAGATGAAGATGCCCAAGCTCAAGTGGCAGAGAATCTGACCAAATGCGTAGAACGGATATTTGAATAATGATCGGTCAATATTTTTAGGGTCAAATCAACCAAAATCTAAAGTGGCGTAAATATTCGCCAGGGTTAGAATGTGGAGCTGTTGACCTATAATCGGTCAATAAGGTGAAAATATAGTGAATATTGCCCAGGCTCAGAATATAGAACCGCAGAAAATTAAATGTTCGTGGTAGTTGTGTATGATATCATATGGTCGCCCCGTCCGACTATACTGCTCCGCTCACTAGTTTTAATTTGAATATGATAAGCATATATGATTAATCGTTGTTTTAAAACAATAATACATAATTCCGATTTCTTATTTAAAAATCCGGTTCAAAACTTTAGGGATCCGGATTTCGCGATGTCTCCTCCTTATTTTTTTTTAAATGCGAATTTTGAATTTTTAAGTACATAAACTTACCTCATTAACTCCTCCTCCTTGTAAGGTTTTTCCGTTAACGATATAAACAATATCGGTAGCGTGGTATATATAATATTATATAATGTCATTGGCAATGAATCGTAGGGAGCGGTTGTCGAATATAGCGTATAGAATTGGAACAGGAAAATGATGGTCATAAGGAAGACATTCTTATAGAAGAAATACAAAAGCAGCAATGATAAACGTTGTGTCTGATAATGACCATGAACGAGCAGCAATCGTTGTAGCATAGAAAATTTGCCAATAGCAAAATCAGAACATTGTGCTGCCTGACGTCCCTCCCTACCCATTACACCAATACCAACATGTGCCTCCTGCAACATACTAACATCATTCGCACCATCACCAATGGCTGCGGTAATATATTGTTCGGGAGCATTTTTTATTAACGCAACCACTTGACTTTTTTGTAATGGACTTAGGCGACAACATAAAACGGCTGAACATTTAATTGCAGCAATGCGAAATTCGTTGGGTGCCTCAGCTAAAGCCGTAGCTAAGCTGTCACCATCAATGAGGAGGGAACACTCTTGATTTTTTCTAAATTCGATTTCAAGTTGTAGCGTTGTCAGGTGGTATGAAATGGCTTCCCTGTCTCGACAATTACTGATGGTATAGCTGTAAGAAGTGGGTTTAATGTGTCCACATGATATGCCAATATTGAGTGCAGTTTCCATTTTATCTCCAGTCAGAACCCATATTTTGATACCAGCTATTTGTAAAGATTTTAGTGTTGCAGCAACGTCGTCTTGTA